TTCGTGGCCCCATAGGGAGCTCCACCGAAGGCCCCAGTAGCGGCGCTTACAAGCGTCTCCGCCACCCATCCCGCCCCCCCCCCCGCAGCAGCATCATGTTTCGGGGGCCCATAGGGAGCTCCACTGGAGGCCCCAGTGGCGGCCCGCACATGCGCTTCCGCCACCCATGTCGGCACGCCCCGCGCGTGTTTCATGTCCCCATAGGGAGCTTCTCCGACTGCCCCAGTGGCACCCATCTCGGCACACCCCTCACACGTTCCGTAGTCCTACGGGGAGTTCCATTGAAGATGAAACCCGCAGCTGCGGTACTGACAACTGCATATGGTTGGGTTCTTCGCCGGCTAATTAATACATAGGATTTTGAACGTATGGGATTTGTTTTATCCATGCTTCATTCATGAATAAATCTATGCATGAACTCATCGTTGTTTTTAATGCTAAACGCCTGCATGTTGAATAGATGCTCCGCACGCGGAGCATGTATGAACAACGGCACTGTAAGCTCCGAGGCCCGGGGAAAATTGGCGCGTCGAGAAGAAGCACGGCTGGCGCCTCAGACTGGGGCCCCTGGACCCAGCGAGGGTTCACAGGAGACCGAAAACGATGCGAAAGCCTACCGCGATAATTGTTGTTCCACGACGTCTCGAACAAAAATGTAGCATTATGTCGGGCGCGCCCCCCCTACGAAAACTAGTAAAAAAATAGTCAGGGGACTATGTTTTTCATTGTTTGTTAGCTTTTTGGCGCATTTTGGGGCTATTCCCAACCATCCTGTGGTGTTGGGTCCTCGTTTCGAAGAGACGGTGCCCCGCGTCTCCTTCCTCCTCTCCTCCTCCGCCTCCTCTCCCCTCTTATCATCATCCTCATCGTCATCATCATCATCATCGTCATCATCATCATTATCATCATCATTATCATCATCATTCCTCTCCTCTCCTCTCCTCTCCTTTTCTCTCCTCTCCTCTCATCTCCTCCTCTCCTCTCCTCCTCTCCTCTTCACCCACCCAGTACACCGTTTCGTGGCCCCATAGGGAGCTCCACCGAAGGCCCCAGTGCCCGCGCCCGCATGCGTCACCCACAGCCAATTCGGCACACCCCTCACACGTTTCGTGGCCCCATAGTAGAAGCTCCGCCGAAGGCCCTAGTGCTGCCGCCCGCATGCGTCACCCACACCCATTTCGGCACACCCCTCACACGTTTCGTGGCTCCATAGGGAGCTCCACCGAAGGCCCCAGTGCCCGCGCCCGCATGCGTCACACACACCCATTTCGGCACACCCCTCACACGTTTCGTGGCTCCATAGGGAGCTCCACCGAAGGCCCCAGTGCCCGCGCCCGCATGCGTCACCCACACCCATTTCGGCACACCCCTCACACGCTTCGTGGCTCCATAGGAAGCTCCACCGAAGGCCCAGTGCCCGCGCCCGCATGCGTCACCCACACCCATTTCGGCACACCCCTCACACGTTTCGTGGCTCCATAGGGAGCTCCACCGAAGGCCCCAGTGCCCGCGGCCGCATGCGTCACCCACACCCATTTCGGCACACCCCTCACACGTTTCGTGGCTCCATAGGGAGCTCCACCGAAGGCCCCAGTGCCCGCGCCCGCATGCGTCACCCACACCCATTTCGGCACACCCCTCACACGTTTCGTGGCTCCATAGGGAACTCCACCGAAGGCCCCAGTGCTGCCGCCCGCATGCGTCACCCACATCCAATTCGGCACACCACTCACACGTTTCATGGCCCCATAGGAGCTCCGCCGAAGGCCCCAGTGCTGCCGCCTGCATGCGTCACCCACACACAATTCGGCACACCCCTCACACGTTTCGTGGCCCCATAGTAGAAGCTCCGCCGAAGGCCCCAGTGCTGCCGCCCGCATGCGTCACCCACACCCAATTCGGCACACCCCTCACACGTTCGTGGCCCCATAGGATCTCCGCCGAAGGCCCCGGTCCTCCTCCTCCTCCTCCTCCTCCTCCTCCTCCTCCTCCGCCTCAAGCGCCGCGACGACAGCCTCACGGGGGACCTCGCGGGCCCGCTGGTGTTCATCGAGCCCCGCACGTCGGAGCCGTTCACCTTCCGCACCTCCAAGGTCACGCGGACGGGCTTCCCGTTCTCGCACGGCAGGGTCATCACCACGGTGGCGTGCCAGGGGCGCACCATGCGCGAAGGCGACGGGGCGGGGGAACGGCGCTCCGGGGACGGCCAGACCTCCGGGGCGCGAGCAGTCCGCGGCCAGATCTCGGTCCTGTGGACTCTCGCCCTGGGCCGTCGGCTGCCCGGCGCACTGCTCCCTCGGCCGAGTCGCCCAGGTGTGATCCTGGACTGCGGCCGCCACGAGGTCGGGAACGGCAAGAAGGAGGACGACGACTGGTGGCTGGAGCTCTATGTGCTGCTCTCGCGCGCCACGCGCCACGAGGACCTCCTGCTCATGCGGGCGCCGCGCACCGAGTTCTTCCTGGCAG